TACTATTTGGCATTGATTGTTACAGGAAACCTCATATTGCAAATCTGCAACATGTTATTCAAGCAGCATGACATAAAATGTGGAACACAGTGCATGTAAAAAGAAAAATAGCACTGAACACATACACCATAATAAGAGAAAGGAAACTACTGTGATGAAGTAAAGCTTTCACAGTTTTGAAGTTTAACCCATTGCCGCCGGGGAAAATGAACAAAAAATGGGGAAAGTGCTGTGCCTATTTTCTATATTTTTTTGTTAAATGTCTGCCCATAGATAGCTCTGTTAGTGCTTGATTTGAAATGGCGGGAAAAACGTATTTTTCACTAGTGCCTTGAATATCGATGGTGTTATTTTCATTATAAACATTATAATTATTATAATGTTTTTTAACATTAGTAACAGCAAAATAAGAGAACGGTAAATATTTTGTAAATCAAAGAAAAGGGTAAACAGGCAGTATTCATAACTGGCTCATTGGTGATTTAGTACAAGTGTAGCCATCTATGTGTAAAAACAATCAAACAAGTAATCTCACAGTGGGCATGGCATGGTTTGCCCGTCAGCAATGGGTTAAGAGCAAGAAAATGTTCAGAGTTCATGAAGTGCACTTATAACCTTTTTTGTGGTCCTACCCTGTGATGGGTTAATATATCACTAAAAAATATCCTTCTCCACTCCCATTTTATGCTTAAAAGATTAGCACTGGTAAAAGTAACAAAAAAGATTCTTTCTTGACACAGCCTAAGTTCTGGCTTCTACTGTTGCTTAACCCAAATTGTCTCTTGCTTTCCAAAGTAATAGAGGTAATGTCTTACTCTGATTATGTTGTGACTTGAGGTATCAGAGATCTGATCTGAGACTGAATCTTTTCAAGAGAAATTAAGATTGGGAGATTTGGCTTTTTGTATCAGCTTCTGACACTTATTAAATATTGGTATCTAACATTCTAATGGGTAAAGCAGTTGAAGACAAAATTAGTTTTTACTTTCACCTTAATAAGGCATTGTGTTGGAATTGGCCAAAAGAGCTAAAATAGCTAATGTTTAATTCACACTGGCAATGACCTGGCACAAGCATGATGCCAATTGACGAATGAAGTTTTGAATCACTATAATCTATAATAGTAAATGGGAAGAGTTGCCTCAGTGGCAACACATGAAAGCACTAGGAAAGGTCAAGTCTACTTAGTTTAAAAAAATAATAATAAAAAAAAAACAAGGACACAGCAACAAGATAGCTAACACCTGCTCCCATTTCCACCTACCTGTATTTGTCAGTGTAGATGGGGTGTACGCCTAGCAATATTTTTTGTTAAGGCAGATTAACCAGTTAGTGAAAAGGTAATTTTGGCTGTATGAATTAGACACCAGCAAGTGAAGAGAGCAGTCTTGAAAATTACTGATTATACAAGTATGCCCTTTTTTATATATTTTCATATGAAGAATGGTCTCTACAAACCTTTAAAAACAATGACTGTCTTTGGGGCTTGCATAAGGTATGTACAATGAGGAAAAAAAAAATTATTTTCTTTTATGTTATTCAAGCTTTTTGTGATTGCATAACCCACATATTAGGATTTTTTTATTCATCTTTACAGACTAAATGCTCACAGAATCAGGTTATCAAAAGTAATTTAAAATAAATAGCAAGAACACATATCTTGTATGTATATTTCATTTATGTAAAGAAATCTAGAATTTTCATAATATGCAGTGCAATCTACAAACTATAGTAGTTTACAGACAGGTAAGTAGAGAGGTAGAAATTATCATAATTAAATAAAAATACATGTCTTCAAAAATATTTATTCACCTTACATCTACATGTACACATATATCAACCTTCAGTAATAACTACATACATGGGCAATCATACATAGATATGACATGCTGTAATTCTGAGGTTTGAATCCCCTTATTATCAGTATCATTATCATTATTATTATCGTCACTATCACTAACAAGAGATGAGCATTAGTTACATAATGGGAATATTCAATTCCTTTAGTAATTCAGTACATGAATAATTTTCACAACCTAAAAACTGTGACCATTCATTGGAATATTATTACAGCTATAACAAAACATGAGAAGTTTACTATGCTTTGTAAACTAAAAAAATGGGGGAAAAATAATAAGAAAGCATCAAAGCCTGAACATTCATTTTCATAAAAAGAAACATTTCTATTACTTCCTCTGAACAATCAATTATCTCTCGTAACTTAAGAATAACCAACTGTCACTCAGTATTTTCAAACAGCCTGAATATAATCAATCTCCAGTGAGCTTGTACCTCTCTGTTTAAAGTCGCTATAAACACCACCAGGAATCTGAATGGTAGTTCTCGTTATATCCGATGTGTCAAGGGGTTCTGCGTCAGGAACAATAGCGCCACGGTAGTATGGCTTAAACTCATTGAACGGCAGAGAGATAGTGGTCCACCTGTTCTCTGGAACCTGAAAGATATTTGTTTTAAAACTCATACATGTTCTTATCCTTTT